AATAGAATATTTATTTTTATTTAATATAGAATACATGTAATTCTTATTAAAAGACATTTTTTACTTCTACTACTGGATCGGAAAAAACATCGGCAAACCAAAATTATAAAGTTATATGTGTATTAAACATCTTTTGAATTATATTTAAAAAAGATATTTTTAAAACATCTTTTAAATTATATTTAAAAAATGTTTATACAGATACATATTATTAAGTAACAAGAATGTATTATAATTCACAACTGGCCAAAGCTGTGATAATAGTTGTTCGTATAAAATTACAATCTAACGGATGACAGAATTGAGGTTACAAACACAAATAGAGACTTTAAATTTGGAGTATCTTCTTTGAATTTTGGCTAAAATGATTTTAAAAGAAAAGGCTTTTGATTTTAAGTACGAATGATACGAGTTAAAATATTTTTCATTAAAAAATTTAATTGTGAACGCATAGTGATATGATTCCTTTAACTAATTTGTTTAAAACTTTACTTGTATAGTATATTTTATCCTAAAGATAAGAAGGACAAAACTAGCTATACTAATATATATATATATATATATATTTTTTTTTATATATATATATATATATATATATATATATATATATAATCATGCAATCATTGCGTTAAACTACAATTACCTAATTGGTCATATATAGTAAAATCAATAGGTACATATTGGACCATGTTTAATAAGTATATTTTGAAGCCATAACAGCATCAGATAATTTTTTTAACTGTAATTGGCTTTTCATTTACGAGACTTGTGGTTTGTTACAGACTCTATCTTATCTTGTAGATAAAAGTGCGTAATAATTACCTACTTTTATGAAACAAACAAAGTGCCTTTCTGCTGTTCTCATTGATTAAATTTAAGTATTTTTTTAACAATCTACATAAAACTTTCGCATAAACATTAATAGTGTGGCGTTAATAGTAAATATTGTTCTAAATAACAGGAGTGCAAATTTTTTTTTATAATATAATCTAATTACAGTATTCACGCGAAAACAGAAACGGCAAAGAATAGGTATAATATCTAGAAATTTGACAGAGTCGTTTTTGCATTTGGCCTAGGAGTTCATCCCGACAAATGGTATGGTAAATTTGTGACACAAGTTGCCAATCTTATTACGTGTCAGGTTGTTTGTCCGTGATCAACTCCTAAACTACTCAACCGATTTTAATCAAATTTGCACACCGTGTGCAGTTTGGTCAAACTTGAGAGATAGGATATATATATATATATATATATATATATATATATATATATATATATATATTGTGTCTCTTTTTTTATTTATAGAATTTACGCACGGTGTCAGACAGAAACTTTTTAAATTTTATGAAAGAAAATGGCGTTTTTTTTAAATTCATTGAATTTACGTTCTATAAGTGAAACCAAACCACTGGTTTCAAGGACAACGGTGTTTACACTAATAACCTGTATATATACATATATAATATATACATTGGCAACTTGTGTTACAAATTTACCAATGTCGGGATGTACTCCTAGTCCATATGCAAAAATGTCTGTCAAATTTCTAGATATTATACCTATTCTTTGCCGTTTCTGTTTTCGCGTGAATATATATATATATATATATATATATATATATATATATATATATATATATCAGGATGTCCCAGAAGTCGACGTCAAGCCGAAACTCTCTGATAGGCGAGAAAAAAAATTAAAAAAAAAAGAAGAGCTTTGACAGAGAATAGCGAAAGCAGTTGAATTTTGTAATAATGGAAGATTCGCCTGCCTGATTTCACGATCTTTTTTAAGAGTGTCGGGCTTGTATTACAGCTCAAGGACGGCAATTTGAACATCTTTTGTAAAATAAGTAATAAATTTTATCATAAAAACGAAACTGTCTTAATTTTATAACCATTATTTTATTACTTTAGTTTGTATTTGCGTCTGTGGCTCATAAGCGTCACTATCTGTCTCGCTCACCCTTTATGGAATGTCTTTCTCTATCTCATTTAAACCACGCTGTGGTCATTAGGAACGCTTTGGTTACACTAGAATCGTTTTAATGTAAGTTCCAAAAAATTGTTAAAAACTGACTTTGTTTAACAAAAAATTTTTTATGGCTGATCTAAGAAATAATGGAGTAAGTGCCACGTTAGAATTATTATTAAATGCGCTAACTATTAAAGCTACTTGCCAAACTGGCGTAGTACAATTTTTTTCCAGGATGGTCAGTTGAAGTAGTGCGAAAAACTAATTCTGAAAACTTGGTTTGGTATAAAATTACATTTTCTTTCAAGCTGGAGTGATCGGCACAGGATTTAGGATTTCCGGTTACAGAAGCACTATTCAGGATGACGTAAGAGAAACATTTGTAGCTTCAAAAAGTAAATATTTGTAGCAACAGGAATAAAAAACTGCCTCATGGTGTATATTTTATCGAAAAACAAAATTGCTATAATTTCTGAAATACATGACTAAGATTTTTTTTATATTTTTCTGGTAACTAGTATGGCCTCGCCTATCAGAAAGTTTCGGCTTGACGTCGACTTCTGGGACACCCGATATAACAGGGTATTTATCACATAAAAAACGAAAATGGTTTTATCGTGGCTCTTCTTATTGTACAATAGTTCTCAAAGGTTCTCTTAAATATATTTGTTTACATTATGTGCTTAATTTATAATTCAGCAAATTGATACATGGTGACATGAATCTTGATCGCATCACAATAACTTTTCAGATTTAAGATGGCTCTACTATAATTCTTCAATGGAATTGCTTGATATGTTATATGATGATATGTTGTTTGGAAACAAACTGTATCACCACGACATCGATATTGAGACTAAAATGAATTCTAAATAATGCAACTTATTTATGATTCATACCGCATATCTCGTGGACAAAAATTAAATCGACTCCTGACTAGTTTCAATTGATGCACAATAATGTAATTAGAATGCAATTAATCAAAATTGGTTTAATATTATCAAATTTTTTTGTTATGAGTTAGTTAATTGACGAAATTGAAAAAAGTACTTATAAATACTCATTCAGATTTTGAATATGATCACAGCAATTCTTTTAATATTTAAAAATATTCAAAGTTTCTAATTTTTTGTCACATCCTTCTGGAAAGTTTGTTGTGTATACCTCCAGGGTGGCACCTATTTTTTATGTTTTGGTATCTAGATACACTGTAGGTGTGAAAAAAAAAACAAAAGTTACTAACAAATATTACTATTAATGGAACATATCGTGTTGTCAAATAATTTACTAAATTTCAGTCAATCAGTAATGAGTCGCTTTTGGCAATCATTTCGGAAATGCGCAGGCTAATTACTGTTACTGCACAACCTTGCGTTTTATTAAATTATTAATTGTACGCCAGTACACAATATAATTATAGAATTGTATCACATTTACGAACTGTTTGTTTCGAGAATTATTTGAGTATATAGTAAATTTTATATATAGTATATAGTATTTAGTAAATTTTATAGTCTAGTTATAGACTATATTTAAATCGACAGAGATTAGATAGATAGTATTTAGATCTCAAAATAGGTTGATAATTATCAATAACTACAGCGTTTGTGTGTTTGTTATAGAAAATATTATTAATTCTGGGTTTTACTTCAGTAGGTCCCTAGTAATCATGCCTTATTAAATTTTAAAATAAGTAGTGCCTCTAAGTGGTTATTTGGATTTTTTCGATGTCAAGGTTTGTTTTCATCTCTTCCCGTAGGTACATTTCGTTGCCAGCCAGCCATCCAGCTATGGTAAATATCCCCCTTATGAGGCGATCTATGGGAATATTATTAATAATTATAATATTAGAAATTAAATAGTTTCAAGTTTAAAGGATTAGTTCTAAGCCATGAGGACATGGCAATATTGGCATTTAAATACGTCGAACGTACGAGAATACGTCATTCAGACTAAGTACTGCGTTGTGCGACTTTTATATTTTACATTATCCAAATTAAATCTTAAATGCCGCTTATGTGATGCTATCAATTAAGCTGACTCTCTTATGAATGAATCCATGGGCCTTATTTTGAGTTTTTAAATAAATAAAACAAAGAAGTCAAAAGAAGAAAAATAAAAATAGAACAAATATTAAATACCAGTTTACCGCCGGCACCAAAGAAATTGTTAATTACAAATTAAATGATCATTTATACTATTCAGCGGTTTGGGAAAAAGTCGTAAGAAAACCTGCTTACTCGAGAAAAAAATATTTCAAGAACAAGTTTCTCTATTAGAACAGAGCAGCAGATTAAAAGGCTCCAAACCCTTTCAGATATGGTATGAAGCCTGTATATCCAGCAGTAAGACTAAATATACCTACTAATCCTATACCTTTAAACGAGCAATTCTCGTATATATATATATATATATATTATATATATAATATATATATATATATAATCGGAATCATTTCAATTTAGTGTCCAGAGAGTTTCGGGGGCAATAAATCAATCTACCTAGGATTTATTTTTAAAAAATGTATTTTTGTCCGTGTTTTCAGGCAATGAAAAAACTGCTACAATATAAGAAGGTAAATTTTGATACTTTGTTAATGATCGTAATAGCTCAAGTGGATATCGAGTGATCGCGAAATCGTAATGCCTTAGTTCGCGTCCTGCCTTTGGTCCAATTTTTTTTCTTTTTTTTTCAAGTTCCCTTCTTTTGTGAGAAAATCTATTATTTCGAGCCCTTTTTTTAATATTTTTTAAAAATACGAAAATTTTAATTAAACTAATTGCACTCATGATTTTTATTCAAATAACCAGTTCAGTTTTTTCTATTATGTCAATAACAAGATCAAAAAATATTGTGCATCAGTATGTAATTTGTATCTAAAAGTAATTTCTAAAAAAAAAAAAAAAGCAAAGCTCGGTCATCAGGGTACTATATACTAATATACGGCTATAGCCGACTATATATACTAATAGATTAATATGCTGTAACAGTAATTTAAAAATAGTTTGAAAATAATTACTCACGGAAAACGGTAAGTTGTTTTGCGCTGGATTCTTTTGTATAAATAGGCGTATCCAGAGACACCTCACACGAATAGCTGCCACTCGCCGCGAAGTCCAAGTTCTGCAGAATAATTGAATTCTCCGTTGCTAGTGCAACCTGTAATTAAATATCAGGGAATTATTTATAAATTTGATTTTAAACTGCCGAAAAAGAATTTTCTTTTGTGTTTTTTTTTTCAAACCAGAATAGAAACCAGAATAATATTTATCGTGTACAATAGATTGTGGTATCATTAGGTCATTACAGCCCTTTACAAGTCTACTGCTGATTTGTTCAGCAGTAGACTTGTAAAGCCTCCCCCAACGGACGCCACAAAGCACGATCCCGAGCCACCTGCATCCATTGACTTCCTTCCGTCTAACCAGGTCGTCACTCCATCTAGTGGGGGGACGCACTAAACTTCGCCTGCCGGTACCAAGCTGCCACTCGAGAATCTTTCTTCCCATCGGTTCTCTGTTCGTCGAGCTATATTTATTTATTTATTTATTTATTTAAATAGATACACCATCGACAATATCAGTAAACATTGTTACAATCAAAAATACAAAATTTTTAGACAAAGGATATGTCTTTACAGGTGTATACATCAATGTAAGAGAAAAAAACCTAAACAACATATAAGCTCTAAATCAAAAAGGAATTAAACTAATCAATCAAAGTAAAAGCACCACATCCAGTAATAATTACAATAAATAATAATTTTGAGTCATTATTCTGGCAAGGCAGGTAACAATAAGTCTTTACATTTTCTTTTGAATTCACGTTCGGGGTCGCTAAAGATGTCGATGTCATGATTGTTTAAGATGTTGTAAGTTCGCATACATCTGCTTAACGGAGAAAACTTGCCTAAATTGGTTCTACTGATGGGAGTATTGAACAAATTAGTAATTGGTTGTCTAGGAATATGATAAGGGATTTTAAAGCACACTTGCTGCAGTAAACTTGGCTAAAATTAACTTACCGTGTAGAAGTTTATGTAGCGTCATTAAGTCTAAAAGTTTTCGTCGGTCAGCCAGTGAACTCATTCCAAGATAAGAAAGTCTAGAGTTATAATCTTTATAGTATGGACAGTTTTGAACTTTATATGCAATGAATCGAGTAAAGTTTTGTTGAATACGCTCGATTCTGTGAATGTGAATTTTATAAGAAGGATTCCAGAGCTATATGACAGACCCATTGCCACTTCAGCTTATTAACCCGTCGGATTATGGCGGTTACTCTTATTCTACTGCGCATGTCCTCATTATTAAGCCTATCACTCAGAGGAACACCGAGCATAACCATCTTCATAGCTCGCTGAGCGACTTTAAGCTTCCTTATACGTCATCACTGCCAACACGTACTGGTTTTACAATCTACTTTTTTAGATTTTGAGGTACGCCTGACGAGAAGATGTGTCGTAATCTCCCGTACGCTGCCCAGACAAGTTAAATCCGTCGATTCGATCTCTCGGTCGAAGTTGGACTTACCTAGTTGGACTATTTGATCCAGGTAAACATACTCGTCAACAACTTTGAGCTAAGTGTTCCCAACCGCTACCGGCACACATGTAACATGGACGTTGCATATGAGTTTTGTTTTGCCCATGTTCATCTTAAGACCTATCTCTTGGAAGACACCATTGAGTTCATTGAGCATAGTGCTTAGGTCGTCCAGTAATTATTCCATATGGACTATACCTGGGTGGATTGAAAAGTACTCGGCCTAACACAGATCCATTCAATTCTAAAAATCAAATCTACCCACATTATTTAGTTCAGTTCAGACTAGTTCATTGTGTGAAGTTCGAAACGTGTGCGATAATTAGTTGTGATTTTATAAATTTATTAATAAAGTAATCGGACATAATTTCCGCGAATGGAGCAAATCGAGCAGCGTGCCGTCATTAAGTACCTCCATAAGAAGGGGCTATCATCAAAAGCCATCCATGATGACATGGTCAGTACATTAGGCAATTGTGCTCTGTCATATTCATCCGTCAAAAAATGGATAGCAGAATTTAAGCGTGGTAGAGAGAGTGTGAAAGATGAACCCCGCTCTGGAAGGCCTTCGACGTCAACTACTGACGAAAATATTAAAAAAAGTACTTGATTTAATAATGGGAGACCGCAGATTAAAAATTAGAGAGATAGCCGAGATTATAGGCATCTCTTATGAACGAACTCAAAACATCATTGTCAACGAGTTGGGTTTCCACAAGGTGTCTGCGAGGTGGGTTCCGCGACTGCTTTCAGTTGAACAAAAAAGGACGCGATTGACTATTTCACGCGACTGTTTGGAGTTATTTGAAGCCGATGCAGATGATTTTTTGAATCGTTTTGTTACTATGGACGAAACATGGGTTCATTACTGTACACCAGAAACAAAACAACAGTGGGGAAGACCTGGTTCACCACCCCCTAAAAAGGCTAAGTCGATTTTGTCGGCAAATAAGGTGATGGCTTCAGTATTCTGGGACTCGAAAGGTGTGATTATGATTGATTATCTTGAAAGGGGTCAGACTATAAACTCTGATTACTACTGCACCTTACTACGTCGTTTACGAGAGGAAATAAATGAAAAACGTCGAGGAATGCTCAGAAGAAAAGTCCTGTTTCATCAAGATAACGCCCGTGTTCACACGTCAGTACAGTCAATGGCTGAAATTCACAACTGTGGCTTTGAACTGTTACCGCATCCGCCGTATTCACCAGATCTGGCACCATCAGACTTCTTTCTGTTCCCTAACCTAAAAAAGCACTTGGGAGGTCAAAGATTTTCGACAAACGACGAGGTCAAAGCAGCTGTAGACGCATATTTTGACTCTAAGGAAGAATCATTTTTTTTCAACGGTCTAAATGCTTGGAAGGGGAGGTGGCAAAAGTGTATTGAACTTGATGGTGATTATGTAGAAAAATAAAAATATAACTGATTTAGTATGTGTTTATTTTCTTGGTTAGGCCGAGTACTTTTCAATCCACCCTCGTATCATCGGTAAATCGAAGGTGGGTGATGTACTCGCTATTGACGTTAATACCGTGGCCTTTCCAGAACAGTAGCTGTTTTGGGGATATATCGTCACCCTGTCTGACACCTCTTTGCAGGTGGATAGGTTTCGTACTCTAGTTCTGTACTCGGATAGCCATCGTAGCCCTACTGAACAAACACTTCAGCACTTTGATATACCGGCAGCCAACTTGGAACCGTTGAAGGGACTGCAGCACCGCCCAAATTTTGACGGAATCAAAGGCTTTTTCATAGTTCACATACGCAAAACAAAGTGGCAGATTGTACTCTTCGGTCTTCTGTATAATTTGCCAAACGGTATATGCTGCTAAAGCCTTTTCGGAAACCGGTTTGTTCGGAAGGCTGGAAGTCATCGAATCTGCGTGCGAGAAGATTCGTAATGACTCTCGAAAACAGCACGTGGATGCGAAGGAGACGTACTCAGAAGGGAAATCGGTGTGTAGTTCTTCAAGAGAGCGTTGACGCCTTTCTCGAAGAACAAAAATCGTTTAACCCCATATCGTTCCGTCGGTGTCGTTAGAGGTCACAGAGGGAAACTGCAACAGGATATAGGCAGCAGCCTCTCACTGATACCAACTCAAATTGTAACAAGTGGTGAAATTAAAAGTTTTGCACAACCGACTTCAATATAAATAAAATGAAAATATACGCATTATTAAGAAATATGCATTATTATGGATAACTAAAAAAGTACTTTCAGTACTTGATCAAATTTATATGGGATCACCACCAAGTTTATATGGGATAGGTACCAGATTTCAAATGTGAAAAGAATCATCAAATCGGTTCACCTAGAAAAAAGTTCTGAGGTAACACATAAAAAATACAGTCGAATTGAGAACCTCCTCCTTTTTTGAAGTCGGTTGCAACTCACCGTATGTGGCTAAATTCTACCTATGAGGCAGTCTAGGGGAGGTATATGGTCAGCAGTGGAATTTTACAGGATGTTTTTTATTTAATTTTTTTATTTTATTAATAAGGCACACAAACAGATTGAAGACAAAAAATAACAAAATTACAGTAGTAAAATTATTATAACTAGTCTATAATCTAATAAAGTGTGCACAGCAAAATAAAGTATAACAACAAGTACTAAAAAAAACTAATAATACGTAGTATGAGTGACAGCTAAAAAAACATTAATGATATTCGTGAAATTTACATATTTAACGTAGGAATTTAAGATAATTTAAATAGTGAAATGTTAGAATTAAAAGCGTGTAGTGGATAATGGAAGTGTTTACAAGAACATCAGGAAACATTCACTCGTCCTTATGCTAATAAATCGAAATTGGGCTTGGTGTATACAGTGTCAGAGTCTAGAACCGAAATAAGTTTTTTTGCACATGTGCAATTAAGGTCCAGTTAGGATTCGATTCTAGGATATCCAACGCATTATAGATTGCTAAGCTAGATAACTGTCTATACATATCAATAAAATTAAAGTGTCTGTCTGTGTTATTAGAATAACTGGCTTCTATAGTAGTCTTGTTAAATAAGGTCTGAAATCAATATTTTGGCACTCAACTTAGCATTTTTGACATAATGTAGTTTTAAATATTTTTGTATATTTAAAACTACATTATGTGTATATGTTTTCGTATCTGCAACCCCCGGCAAGGGTTTACAACACACACACACACACACACACACACACACACACACACACACACACACACACACACACACACACACACACACACACACACACACACACACACACACACGCACACACACAATTACTCGAAAACGTTAAAAATTAGACAAAAAAGCTCTAATAAAATTAAAGAGTAAATTTAAAAAAATCGTCGAATAGAAAAATAAACGATTTTTTTTAAATTGCTTATAAAATTTAATGAAATATACAGATTTTTTTTTTGTTAAAAATGTAACGAAAAATATATAAAAATAATTTTGAACCGAGGAAAAAAAATCATAAAACCTTATTATGTAAAATTTTTAACTCTACAGATCTTCTTAGAACCTTTGACAATTTTTTTCAACCCTTGCAGACACGAAAACCTTTACACATTGTTTGCTACATTATGTCAAAAATGCAAAGTTAAGTGCCAAAATTTTGATTTCAGATCTTATTTAACTGGACTATAAAGCTCTTAAGGCTATTTGCATATTTGCATGACTGCCTACCTTTGCGGACTAATCCTCGCAATGGTGAACATGATGAAACATTACGAGTTGGTAAAGAAAAATAAGAGAGATCTATATCAAATTGATAAAATAGACTATCTTAAGGCTAAATAACCCCACATTAATTCATCATTTTCAGGCAAATCCGGGCGGATCTCTAGTATACAATATTATTTAATTAAATAAAAGTCCCAGTTATTATGTCTTATGCAAAATATGAACTATAATAGACTATATTTCCATGTTTAATAAAAGTACACAGACGTGTTATTGTCCTTCTTTATAAAATCGCACGCAATTCCATCTAATTGTGTTGTTTGTTTGATAATAATGGATACTGAATTCTCCAAGGTAGCAAGCACGTAGCAAATTAAACTTGTGCCTACGTTCCCTCACACTTCCCGAGTCTGACCTGAAAGTGAGGTCGACCTGTTACGCCCTCCTGCAGTTAAATGAGCCATGTGCATGCAACGGAACGTAAGGCACACTGAATTAATTTTAGTACGCCTTTGCACTACTGGTTTTGTGATGCATTTTGCATAAGTAAAGAACATTCATCTATCAATTAAAAAAATATAACATAGGTTTGTTTTCTTCATCTTTATCAAATCGTAACAATTTATTCCTGGAGTCTTTCCTAAAATAGCAGAATTCGTTTTATTTACGGATGCTGCTTCTAGTTGCCGGTGTCACATATACGTTACGATGTACCGTTATGTATAGAGGCCGTGAAGTTTTTCTAGCGTTTCCTAGTCGCCTCTTAGAACATACGCGGAACAATATGGGATGTGGGTAAAACACTTTATAGTATTTGCTTCTGACGAATTGAGAATCTGATGAGATGAGATAGAATAAGTAAGCTAAAGTAGTAATAGCCTAGCCAAAGAGGTCGTCAAACTGACGATCGTTTGGCAAAGAAGTTCTCGTAGCAGTGTTTTATTATCTATAATTAACATCCTTAAAATCGTGGTGCCGATACCCGCGCTGCGTATGCTTTTCCTGCGATGAGTCTACATCCGGCATTTTAGATTTTTCGTAATATAGCTGGCGGATGGTGGGTGGGAGGTTATGAAAATTATTTTTTATAGTTTTATGCATCACATTTATGAATTATTGGATACAAAAGATGTTTTTTTCAATTACAGTTGGTTAAATCTTTAATTGATGTTGTGTATCTTGGTTACCGCTTCTGATAGTTGTATTAGAAGTTTTTTTTGTTAAATATGACACCCCTTTAAATGTGCGAAGCGTTTGATACTGCAAGTGATCTACTAGCCGTGGTAAATCTAGCAGTGAACTTTTGCGAAGACGATAATACCCTTTTTTCATAAGAAGCTTTTCCAGCTTTATGTCTTGTCTGTTTTATGGCGTGCAAGGCGACGTAAGAGAATCCATTACCCCGTATCATCATTAGTATGTCAATAGAAATGTTAGAGGAAACCAGGAGACGGGCAGCGGGATCTTATTGATAACAACTCAATAAAAATATTGCTATTTAAAAATGCCTTTATCGTCATACCTATTAGATGTTTTGTCATGATTTCCAATAGAAGTCAACAATACACAAATAATTGCTTTTAGATATGTAATTTTATGTCCGTACGTTGAATCGAAACTACTCAACGTTATTCGAGAATGTTGTGTTGTGTTGCTAATACCGTGGCCAACCTAACCTAACCGTAACTTTGACCCGGAGAATTAACTCCACCCGGGCTATTACCTACCTCGCATCCGTGTTTGTTACCCTTTTAGGGTGTATACAAACGTAAGGAAAATTTGTGAAATTTCTAATTCCATAAAGCTGAAAGATTATTAAGTTGCTTACTTTATGACATGCATAAAGAGAAAGGTTTAACGTTGACTCCAGTATGCATTATTACATTACCACGTCAGGTGATTTATCCCAAACTTTCCTTAATACTTTGAATAACTGTGCACACTTATTCAAAGTATTACCAACTACCAACATAGGTGTTGCATGAATTGTAGGTACACTATTGTCTTGTAAGTGTTTATCCTAAGATCTATCCGTTGGAAGATAATATTGAGGTTATTTTAATAGTGCTATCATCTTCCGCGTTTCTACTATAATGAATCAGTTTTCGGAAATCGCACTTGAGTGATTGTACTTGCACTTGATGTTGATACCTTATCCTTTTCATACTTGTAGCTTGAAAACATCTTCTAAAGTAGCGGTGAATAGTTTCGAGGATATTACAATTTAGTGCAACTAAAGGTCATTACCCACCTTATCTAGTTTTAGAAGTAAGTTTATTAAATATCACAAAACTAAATATATTAACTATGAATAACAATATATAAATATCATTGATTAAAATATTTTACGAATTTTATCGCGTTTAATTTATATGATTTTTAATTCCCGACGTTTTGGGTGCTATCCAGCACCCATAGTTACTGGGGACTGAGATGACTGACGTCCCGATGTCAGTATTAACCGGAGGAGTACCTTTAACTTTTTAATTATTATTTATGGTTCGATCTACGCAGAATGAACTTATTGTATCGTGAAGTCTTGCAATGGTATGCTTGGGTTTAATTTTAATTTTATTAATTACAGCGTCCCAGGCAGATGGTAGTACCCATTAGAATTGCTAAGAATCGATGTTCTTTCGCGAGGATTTGTGGTTTATCAATCTGATGTAATGTTTGGGGCCGCCTAAGATATGATCACACACTGCAGACTTCCCGGAAGTTGAAGCAGTTTGTGATCATATCCTAGGCCCTATTAAAAAGCTGAAGGCACTCCGGCTTAACACTGACATCGGGACGGCAGTCACCCGTGACCGAAACGTGAAGAATTCAAAATCATATAAATTAAACGCTTTAAATATAAGAAATCATTATATAAATATCATATTGTTAAGCTTCTTTACATAATTTACAATAGGATCAAAATCTTCGATCGACGATATTATTCGATATTATTCGTCGATATTATTAGCATGGGTAACTTATTCCTTTGTCTGCACCGACGCTGTATTGTGATTCAACGACACTAATCTTTCGATCATATTGAAGCGATTTATATATAGTTAAAAAAATTAACGAGCAAATATTTAGGGCTGGATATCATCAACATGTGTAATGGGTAATGGAATTTTTATATGCATTGTGTTATCAATCATTCACTGTAAACTGATATCTGAAATGATTCTAAAATGATATCTGATTTTATTATTGAGCGGTGTATTAAATTCAGTCCCAATATACTTTTGTTTGGTTTCAGCCTTAATGTTCTCCAGACTGAATTTTACGGCGGCCAGTCTTAACGGAGATTCGCCATGCGCGTACAGAATTAAAGTGCTCGAGTGTTTGCGAGTGGGCCCGACCCAAGATTCGAACCCACAACTTCAATATCATTAATCGTGTTTTACTCCCCACAGCAGCATTAAGCTGCTATTTTACGTTGTTATTTTGTTGGAGTCATCCCCGTTCGAGCCGACCCATTCGTACTGCAGCCATAAAATTGTTAGAACATGTTCATTCCACGTAGAAAGATGCACTCTTTATTCCCTGACTCTCATAGTCCGATGGGACGGCAAACCGACATGATCGGAATGAGATCAGGCGCAGGGTAAATGGCGTTTCGAGCTTGCTCAAGCATGGGGGCAAAACACCTTGGGGCTGAACTTTCTGTCTCCAGTCTGCTACTGAGAATTTCTTGACAAAAACTAAATAAATGATGTTAGTCCAATTTAGGATTCCTAGGAGAACCTGGGACTGCTTCGGCATTTACTCATGAACGTACATATAAACTAGTCTTCACTTCGTATGTACTATTAAACTAGTCTTCACTTCGTATGTACTACTTAAGTATGAGTAAGTGTATTTATTTGTTGATGAAGTCGGTTTAAAGTCGTGTGGAGGCATATGAACGTGAAAGAGTCGAAAGAGGTGCTTCCAGATCGTGCCTATTCTCTGTCTACCCCCATGGTGACGGACGTGAGTGTCATATACGTCATATCTTTTTAAATGAAGCGAGAAAAGTGACTTACGTTAAGTACCGCTCCTGGGGTAGTGAAGTTTCGGTAAGGCGGTTTCCTATCCCTAATATATTGAAAAATTTTGGTGCCGTGGCGAAGGAAGACGACTTTGTCGAGCAGGTGTGGAGGTACATCGTGCACGCAGCGGAGTCGAACGGAGCCCCCGCGGGAAGCCCAGCGTTCCATTTGCAGTTCCACACGTACCTCCGTGTGACCTCGAGCTGAAAATATGAAATAAAGAGTAAAAATATAATTATGATACAATTTTATAAATTCGCCATGTAGTGGTGGCGTTAGCATATCCGCTATCCCATATCATCTCGCGTGTGTCATAAGAGTCAAGAGAGGGATATGAAACGTGGAATGGGGAGCAGCATATTCTAACAGTCACTGGGCAAGACACTAAGTAAACTCTTTCAGGTTATTCTTACAATCTTTAGGTATTATCACCTAGGTTATCATATTATCTCTATTTGGTCATTGCTACAATGTTTTGGTAAACAAACTCGTACGCCAAAACAGCGCTGTTCCGCCATAGTCTTTGCAATAGGCCCATTAAGATATATCTAGAGTATTTAACGTAGAATTTAACATCAAATTTCCTAATTTAAATCATAAAGTCCAAGTCATGTAGAATCAGCCAATTTGCCTGAACATAGATGATATTAGCTATCTTACATAAATAATGAACGTGCTGTACAAATCTTTGAATTGATTTACAGTTGAATGAAATAGATCGTAAATTAACTTTATTTTATCCATCCAATGCAGGAGTAAGAGAAATAGCGTCACAGACGAATTTCATTTGACGGGTACAAAATGCGGCGATGATGCGGCGAAGCAAAAGAAGAAGTAAGACGAATAGTTGAAAACGAGTTGGAGAATAAACCCTACCTTTTCATTGATATATACCTGTGTGATATCGATGCAAAGTTATAGAAATTAATTAAATTATCTGAATAGTTTAAAAATGACTGAAACCTTTTATACAAAGCAATGTGTGAACTTTTAACTTCAAGGCCATTGATAAAGTTTTCTGATAATTGCGACGAAGAGAAAGGCAAAAGGAAAAAGCGTTTCCATCCTGTTATTAGATTTTATTGCACTGTTTTAAGTTTACTTGGTTCCAGTCTGTAACTTCCCGAGTCAAAAAGTATTCGTGGCACAATTTCCCATCACGTCACTTTATAAACACAAGCAGAAGGAAAATGTTATGGGAAACAATTTCATCGGTATCATACTGATTACTTTTTCCTCAAACTTTGTTTTGTTTTACAATGATGTTTTGGTATCACATCGTGTTTAATTAAAATAACCTACATTATTATTTATATGTTATGATTTTTGGTTAATGAGGAAGTAATGATTTAGCTAGCAGATAAGTGTTTCAGATTTTTCGCAACGTCAGTTTTTGCCAATAATTGTAAGTGAAATAAAAGAGGTGAAGACTGTGTAAGCGATAAAAAATAAAACAATAACATTATAAATTACAAGAATATCTCTTTGCAAAACATAACGTAGGCAGTGTCGGATAAAATTAAAATTTCTATAATACTTAAATAAGATAAGCATTTTTGAGCTGACCTTTCAAAGCGACACATTTGTCTGGAAAGCATACCAGTAAATTTATTACATAACTTTCTTAATAGTTTCGAGAGTACCGATGATTTCCTATTATGCAAAAACGGTAGTGTTTGGCCATAAATAGTAAAGCAATGTGGTTATAAATAGTAAAATACGAAAAGGCAAAATAAGAATAAATCCAAAATATATCTATAAAAACTGTATATTTGCTAGCAAATAATTATTTTAAAGATTAAATAAAACTTTAACCCGACGACTTTTTTACTAATTTTCGAAGCTTTATGAGTTTTTTTTGTTTTTATGATGGTAAGTGGTTGCTGTGGCCCACAGACATCTACATCTATCCTCGGTAACGAATCAAAATGCAGATGCGTTGTCACCCGTGAGGACTAAGATGGAATGTCTCGTTTACAGTAAAAAAGGGTCTCCGGTACTCTACACTCACCAAACGAAACACAACAGCGTTAAGCTGCTATTTGACACTGTTATTTTGTAACAGCGTGGTTGCGTGGTCCATCCCGGTCGAGCCGACCCATTCGTGTTAAAATATACCAGTGATATAGCTGCAGCAGGGCTCTACCACGTAGAATTACTCTACAATTACTCTAGCTAATAGTTTAAATTTTGGGATAGTAGTTTTGCCAAGTTGTCCCACTAGTGAGACTATTGGGCATTATCTTCCCAATAGTTTTACCAAATATTCTTACAAGTAAAGATTATTGGGATTTTTTATCAAGTAGTCCTAACTGGGAAAAATTCTTAGTAGCTCTATAAAATAGATGAAACTTTTCATCAATACATTTTTATGATTAGTAGGAATATTACTGGAAGGATAAGAGGTATGTTCTTTTTACTTCCACATTTCTAGAACTATCCCACTGCGTCTTGCAAGTTTATGCTTGCCTAGTACTATTCTAAAAATAAACTACTTAAGTACATGAAAAATTCCATCTAAGTTAAAGTAGAAGTACCGAGAATTTTTTTTGCAGTGCTCTTACAAGTTAAGTTTATTTGGTAATAAATTCCAATACTTGTAAGACTATTCGGTAAAACTAATGGGAAGAAAATTATAATATACTAGGGAATGCCCCCAAATGTTTAATATTTATATTAGTTATTTATTATATGTCAGATTTTACATAGTTCGTAATACGGTTCAAGGTATGCCATGCCGGATCCTACAGTTTTTAGGATGATTTATGGGTGTGTATTTATATACAATTTACGTATCTACGTTCGTGGTTTATTTTACCTCGCTTATTATGTCGGGAAATAATGATATGACGTTGGATTGGTTTTATTCGAAGCACTATTTGGTTATTACAACGTGATTACGTTTTACGTTTTTATCAAAAGCATTCAAGAAATTTTAAATTATGAATAAATTAACTTGTTAAATTATGAATAATTATGAATAAATTAACTGGTTCTGAATATGGTCGGAGCTTAAAAAAGGTCTTTTAAAATAATTATGAGGATAAAAAGACCTTTGAACTTAAAACTTGGTGCGTGTGACTCGCATATACTTGGTGCGAAATCAGAAAAAACACTAAAAAAAAAGGCTCTTAGAATAATTGATCAACTAGCAACCCGATCCGGCTTCGCCTGGCGAGAATCAACTGATGTGGAGTTATTTAGAATTAAAATAATTAATGACTAATTATTTAATCAATTTTTAGTTCGTTAAAAATCAAGCTTTTCTTTATTTATAAGTATTTCTCACTCTATCTGTTTGTAAAGTTTTATTACAATTTTATATGTGTGCTTATAGATAATGTAATACAAAGTGCGGAAAATATTAAAGACTAGCGATAGAATCTTAACAACAGCGCCACCTACTGGATCAAATTGAGTTTCTAAACCATCCAGAGACCCACTCAAATACACGCATAAAATTCATCAAAACCGTTCGAGACGTTTTCGAGTTTAAGTGAGACTAACGGTCTGCAATCGATTTTTATATACAAGAAAGAAGATAATTTACACAGTGGAATTGCTGGAAACCATGTTTAACACTTCGACAGACGACCGTTTTTTAGCGCGCATTCTTTGGTACGCCGGCCATTTTTTAATATATAGATTTTTAGAAAAATAACTTTAAGTGCTAAATGCATAATGTTTCTTTATTTCTTTTATGTATTATCCATTTTAAAGATATAATTAAAAGATATTATTATAAATCATTGTTATATTTGAAAATTAACTTTAAATAGGGTGCGAAAAAAAGAAACAAAACTCTAACATAAACGTATTACATATATTAACCAGCGTAATTTGTAATTGTGTGATATTTTTTTTTAATAAGAAATAGTTTCGTTTCGTCCACGTTTCCCGGTTTCTTTCTTTGATACGTCAGTACAAATTTTGCACACTCTTGCCACTTTTTCTTTTTTTAGGTGCTCGGGGTAGCGAGCAATGGTACCGCAGCGTAGCCGATATAACCCTTCCTCACGCCTACCACATCATTCATCATCATCATTATCACAACAGCTCATCACAAGTACATCGTTGAACATAGGTCTCCCCCATACGTTACCATAATGAACCACCCTATGTTACATGCATTCATCGACTACCTGAGTGTTTCATCATGTTGTCACTCCGACCAGTGAGGGGTTACCCAACGCTGCACTTTGCAGTATGTAGCTGCTACTAGAGAACTTTTCTTCCCCATCGGTAGTCGGTTCTTTGAGCTATATGGTCGGCCCATGGCCACTTCAGTTTACTGATTCACTGGACTATGACAGTTTATCTTGTTTTTCTGAAGTAATTAACTTGTACTTGATTAATATTTATTCAGAGACCAACAAAAAAAAAAAGACCGAGCGCTGCGTACATTTTAATTGAAGCAAAAACCGTCATTTACTTCTTAACACGCACTGATACAAATCTTTCTTATTTCTTCCTTTAACGTCCCGTTAAATTTCACTGCTGGACGCATACAATACCTAAAATCTGTCGCTGGTTACAAAATGTTTTAAATTTATATGTGTATTCGTTTGCGTGCTTTTGCAATAAGTTGAGCATGGCTTTGGCTTGGTTTTTGCGTCACTTCTACGCAGTGTTCCGTTGTTCTATTTTGTTGGTCCGGAATTTTAATATAGATATTCCTGTTTCTTTGAATATAATTATCATTTTCTTAAATTGTAGATATTTTTATAGGATAAGCGTGATAAGCGAGCACACTTGATGGTAAGTGGATGCTGATATACATCTGCATTTATTCTCGATTAAGGATAACTGCATGTTATCCTACGTTGTCACCCCTGAGGACTAAGACAGAATGCCTCATTTCTCTCTCTTTCTCTACGCTCCATACGAAAGTACGAAAAACAGCAGTATTAAGCCGCTATTTTACGCTGGTATTCTGTGAGAGCGTGTCCTGCCCCGGTTGAGCCGACCCATTCGTGGTACAACCACAATATAGAAGCAGCGTGGCTCTACCACGTATAAAAATTAAAAACCACCATCATCAAACACAATAATAAATTAATATTCATCTTCTATCTCGTGCTTCAGACACAAAGATAACGATACCTTAGCAAACAAACTCACGTGATGTAAGTAAAATACTTCATAAGTATGTAAGGTGGGTATGATTACTCGTGCGTGATTCTTTATGTGCAGAGCGGAAAATGTTCTGTACGTGGTCGGAAAGATTACTGAAAATTATATACGCCGTTAGCTTTGTTCGGATTCTGTAACGTCGTTCAAACGTTGAACAGAGTAGCAATACAGAAATAGGTAAACCTTTTAATACGCGATGTTGTTGATTTTCTTATACCTACAACTAATGGCGATAAATGAGGATACATTACACATGATGGTAAATGGATACTGAGGCCCATAGACATCTACATCTATCCTTAAGAATCGAAATGAAGAAGCGTAATCACCTATGATAATTAAGATAGAATACTTTACTAGTAAAAATCGTCTTAGGTTTTTGTCACTCACAATACGAAATACAGCCGCATTATGCTGCTATTTTTCGTTGATACGGGTGAGAAACGAGCATGGTCTACCACCGATCGAGCCAGGTCAAGTTTTTATAGAATAATGTGACAAATAAGTACAGAGTCTACCTGATGGTTATTGGATGCTGTGGCTCATAGACATACACATTTATCCTCGATTAAGAATCAAAATGCAGATGCGTTGTCACCCCTTAGGACTAAGATGGAATGCCTCGTTTCCATTAAAAACTGTCTCGGTTCTCTATACTCACTATACAATACACAGCAGCATTATGCTATTCTGTGGGAACGTAGTCCTACCCCGGTCGAGTCAGCCCATTCAAGCTGTAACCATAATATAGCTGAAGCATAACTCTACCATACATTATTGTTCTTTTTTCGACTACGGCGTCAATTTCCCAACACTATTGACATTTTTAAACTGGGCAGGATATAGCTCTAGAAGTAACTGCACTGATAATGTCTCGTCCTAATCTTTTTATATCCGGTGTTATGTTTATGTGTGTGTTTTAAAAAAAATATAATCTCTATAATACTGGCACTTTTCTACGTGGTAGAGCCATGCTGCAGTTATATTAGTAGTATAGTTGTAGCACGAATGGGTCGGCTCGACCGGGGAAGGACCACGCTCTCACAGAATACCAGCGTGAAATAGTAGCTTAATGCTGCTGTATTTCGTATGGTGAGTGTAGAGAACCGGAGACCCTTTTTACTGAATATGAGGCATTCCATCTCAGTCCTCACGGGTGACAACGCATCTGCATTTTGATTTGTAATGGAAGATAGATGTAGATGTCTATGGGCCGCAGCAACCACTTACCATCAGGTGGACTGTGTGCTCGTTTGTCAGCCTATTCTATAAAAAAAAACCCATTATAACTTAGACTGGAACACAGAAATGGTTGCACTTTTGCTTCGCGGCATTAACAATAAAGAGTGTAGCCCGAGAACGCACTAGTAATTTCTCATGCGTTGCAAATATTCATAGGCGGTGGTGGTCAGTTACCGTTAAGTGAGCTGCATGTTCCTTTGCTCATTTATAAAAAAACTGACTTTTAATGAAAGCCCTGCAATCTAGTTTGCAATATCAACATCTTTGCAATATTAAAAACGTATTATTAGAAAGTTTCCAACATTGGAGAGTCAGTCCGGAATACCATTAATTTGTTTTCATGCTCTTATGTTTTTTCCCCAGCCATTTAAATCCATTTATAACTTGTTGCGACTCAGTAGTTAGGTTCCTGATTAGCTTGGTTTTTAATCAACTTCAAAAAGAAAGAGGTATTCAATTCGACTGTATTTTTATTTATGTGTACTTAGAACTTTTTTTAGTTAACCGATTTTGATGATTTTTTTATTTGGTAGCTAGTGCTTGTCGTGTAGTCCTATATAATTGTAATTAAGTTCTGATCAGTACTTTTTGAGTTATCCCTAATAATGCGTATTTAATTGATTTCGAATACATTGATGATGTTCTGATTTTATCTATATTGAAGTTGATTGTACAAAGTTTTTATGTTTGCCCCTTATTTAAGTCAAGTTCACTTTCCGTATCTGTGCGCAAGTCTCAAAGTTTTAACAGTTAAGTTACGTAATAATAACCTAATGTAATAAGTAGCTTTCAATTACAAATTACAAAAAACTAATTTTATTTCTTTTATGCGAATGCTATATTACCTATTATTTACATATTTAAAAAGCCTTAAGGGAAATTACTAACGTAGACATAACAAAATAGCACACACAACGATAGACTTTCGTGTCGCACCACCATTCTTGTTACCGTAATAATGGCTGCTACATAATGTAATTATATATCCACGCAATTAGTAATTAGGAATACTAAAAGTTTGTTGTAGCGTTTAGCAGAAAATTTAAATAATTTCTTTCTTCCTACTTAGATAAGAATCATGGATTAATATTTATGCCTTTGCTACTGCTAACTTTAAATGTACCAATTAAAACGTAAGGTTAAGTGACGAAGGAAATGACAACATATTTCTAAAATTAATAATATACTTTGAGTACAACGACTTGACTTACTTCGACTGGGCTTGCTAGCCAGTATATCTTTCTTGCGAAATATGTTTCCACTCCACGGTAATCAAATTCTTTAGTTTTCTGATGGTCTGCGGGGCCGGCTACACTGAACTCACTCATCGCTTAAGAACGTCCCAGACATGCTCTTGGGATTTAGGTGAGGACGTCGAGCTAGCCAAACCAAATGACGAATTCCGATCTTTAGCATATACGCTTCCACATCGCCAGACCGGTGAGCGCGAACGTAATCATCCATTAAAATGGGTTTCTCTAAGAGCAGCCAATGCGGGTTGTGCATGAGGAATGAGAACTTCCGTTATGTATAAGTGTCCAGTCAGTTATGTTAAATCCTAAGTAGTGAAATATTTATTGTTCGTAATTAATATGTTATTCAGGTTATTTAATATATATAATTAATACTGTATTTTTGTTAATGTATAATAAAACTAAATTGGAATTATATGATTTATGTGTAACCGCTGACTTCACTTTTAGTAAAATATAAATCAGACCGCCACAGGACAGGCCTGGGGTCAATAGATAAATAATAAAGTAAAGCGTAACAATATTGTATGCCGCTGTATGTTTTTTTGCTCTCCATAGATTAAATTTTTTATAAAATTTAATTATATAAGTGTGCATGCTTTATTGAAATAAATTTATTTGTATTTGTATTGTGTCGTTTTCGAAGAAGATGACGAGAAGAAATTCATTCAAAATATAACGGAACCCCCACCATAAAGTGCGATTTCTTCAAAACATGCCTCTGCAAAGCATTCTCCTCGTCTTCGTAGCACTCTACGACTTCAGTCTTCATCATACAGATATATTCTGGCTTCATTGGAGGACAAAAACAAGAACAAACAAAAAAAAAAACAAAACAAACCCTATTCCAGTCTCTTTGAGTACAACTCGGCGGGGACTGTGTATATTGGCAGCGAGAAGTCTCCTCCTGAACATCCATTGACTATTTTGCACATTTCTTACTTCTTCGAGTTTGTTCTTAAAGTTCACATACAAAAATTTACGATTTATCAATGCTTGACTCAACAAAGAAAGATCATCCGGTAGTTCGGTACATGACTATCTTCCAGAACCGGACCTTATCTTAACGGAACCGGTTTCTTGATAGTGCTGCCAGGTTCTTGGGTCCCTAATTTTTCCAGTTGGTGTTTTTTTTCCCAAGGTTTTTTACCATTTTTGAAACTGCTAAGCAGCAATAACAATACCTTAAAATGTCAAGGAAATGAAATGATACAATAAAAATGGAGTAAGTTATGAAGAATCTATATTAAGTAATTATTTATTACGTTTACGTAAACAATATACATTTAAATAAAACTAGTTTTTACGGATTTTATCGCGTATATTAACTTATTTTATACCCCCGACGTTTCGAGCACTTTACTGCACCCACAAGGTCATGGGGGGAGGACAAGCAATAATAATTTTTGGGAGTTAACGCCACAAACGTAGTAAAAACGCAAAAGTTGTTTTGTTTAAAAACCAGCCTCAGGCAAAAATTTGAATTCGGAACGTACTTTTTTAAATACCACGGCACTTTTTAACCGTCCAGTAATATGCATCGACATACTTTGTACTATCAAATTATTAAAATACTTTTCGTATTTTTTTTTTGCAGGAAAAAATTAAAATCCTTATCTTTTGCAAATTATTCTTCATCAGCCCATAAACATTTGCCTTAATCGTAATGCTTACTTAGCACACGGTTTGGCAATCACAGTATCAGATATCTTCCACTATTTAATTTACATCTAGCATAAACGGAATGGATACACCACTCTCTCTCGGAAGCCAAAAGATCTTTCTTTTGGTTTCCGAGTGCATCTTTTGGCATGCAATATCATTTCTTACGACCCCAACAAGACGAAACAGTGTTATTTATCACATTATTTACACTTTAATAAAAACTATAAATTAGTTGAAGTATATAATTAAAAGAGATTGGCAAAGTGCGCCGAATTATTTGGTATATTTGATTATTATCACTTTGAAACTATTTCTACAACTTTCTAACAAAGTAACTTCTATAATTTATTACTAAACAATCTGGCTTCCAACGACACAACTTTTGCTACTGGAAGTGGAGTGCATACATATATTATGCAATATCAAACTTTAAAACTTTTCGCTAGAATGTACGCAGTTCAAGTAACACAGCAATAAACAAAACTTTTGAAGTTTTATTTCCGTACTGGAATTCTAATAAAATGATAACTAGATTTTTTTATATATTATAAGACCGGTTCGACTATATAGATTAATAAATATCTTCGTTATTTGCTGTCCAAGCCGCGCCTCTGGAATAACCTACCTGAAAAGTTAAAACAAATAGTAAACAAATATTTTAGAAAAATGTTCTCGCTCCCTTTCAAAAAATGGTTTAAAATTGCTGTGTTCAGCCGTAAACAGTTATCTCTATCTTCGTTTAATGAGAATTTTGTGTATCGTAGATTATATGTGTACATTTGTGTATATTTGTTGTATATAAATAAGTGCGTATGTATTTATGTATTTATATTAACGGTACTTCATTATGTAATGTTTCGACATGTATAATTTAAATTAAATTTCATGTTTTCTGTAACCAGCTCCGTAGTTTTATCAATCCCTTATCAATCTCTTAAGGTTGCGTGGAAGAAAGTGTTTCTAGCCTTAAACCCACCTATTCATCCTTCTGAACTTTTCTATTCAACAAAACAAGTATAAAATTGTAAATGTATTATTTTAATTGTTATGTGTGAGTTTCGTAATGAAAGACGATTATTTTTGTGTGGAACAGACAGAAGTGTGCGTGGCGCAGATTTCCTCTAAATAGACTCGTGGGTGAGGACCCGACCCACATCGAAGAACAGAGCACCGGTATATGCATTGGGCCTATTTAAATTTATATTGCATTCTAAAATGTGCTCCGCGAGGCAGTGCACCTGTTGGCCACAAGAGTGTTTGGCTCGAAAGCCAAACTGCTCGCCTGGAATCAAGTTTTTATGTAGCATAATTTCCTTTAGCCGGCTGAGGATGATGCGCTCATAGACTTTCCCCATAGGACTAAGGAGACTAATGGGTCTGTAGCTGGAGGCCCTATCTCTTGGCTTATTGGGGTGGGTGAAACAGTTATGGGCACTATGGCCGTAGAGTTGGCACCTATGGCATTGCCCGAGGACTTTCTGTTTATGAGGGGGTTCGATGGTGAACCCAGACAAGTGACATATCGTGCGTATGTCGAAAATTCTCTTCCCTGTTTCTGACAGGTCGAGAATGATGAGGACCAGGTTGCAGGGGGTGCCGCTGGTCTTATTGACCATACGGTGCACCTCCTGCACTGGAAGTCCTTGACGTAGGAGATCCTACTTTACAAAGGAGGTCTCGAACTCTATTGGGATTCCTCGTATCACCACCCGGAGATGCTTCTCCTCCTCCAGGGAGAAGGTGTGGAGGGGATGTCCTTCCCATGAAGAATTTTAGTGAGAGCCCTGTAGTCTTCTGCCGTATAAGGCGACGCTACAATGGCCTGTTCCGAAGGCTTGGCTTTGGAGAGCCAATCTTTTTGTTTAACCCTCAAGGGAAAAAATCGACTCAATGTTGCCGTGCAGTAAAAACTAATTACCCCAATATATTACTATCTAAGTACTAGCAGGATGAATGTAAAAGTAAACAGATAAGTTGACAATTGTATATCTGACTTTTAAGAGGTAGTATATAAGTATGTTTATTCCGACTACATAGAAAATAAAACAATAGTAATATAAAACATTGTTTTTATTTTAATAGCCGTTTACTGTTCAATGTTTTGGAAATTGTTTCTATGTAATATAGTATATGGTAGAAACAAATATATAAATATTTTTCAATTATGCATCTTATTAACCTTATTTTATGCTCTAGGAATGCATTTAGTTAGTTTTGTTAGAAAAAATTTAACGCCTATTTACACTTACATTAATTTTATGAATATTAAAAGTAAAAATACGAATAG